AAAAGTATATGTAGATAAAATAACAACTTTTCTTTTTGGCTATCTGCTAATGAATAATTTTTATAAAATATTCCAAACTAGTTCTTTAAAGAAATATTATTACATAACTTTGAAAGGATTGCTATTGCCTCTTCTTGGAATCAGGAAAAGTATTTTGCCATATGGTGGAGTTTATTCTACTCTTTGCAATCTGACATAGTTTTAGAATTAGGCCAGAGATCCACTTCTGAATTTAAATAGCCTTCTCTCCCTGCCTTGGGTTGATATTCCCAATTGTTACACTGATGCCTTTTTCTAATGTAGATCACATTATAGCTCAGACAGGTCATCAATTATACTTATTGCCAAGCCACGGCAAATGATTCTGTTTAAACATCCTAAAAAGCTGCCAAGTGAAATAAAAACTTCTTATTGTTGATAAAGAAATAATTGGGCAACATTGCAAATGAAAAGTACTTTAGAAATACTAAATATCAAATGATAAGTGGCAGTAAGTGCCGAATTCAGTTAAATGGTAGTATTTTTATCTTATCTATTTTCTAAGAAGACAGCTCCTATTCTCTTCTGATGGTAAGTTTTTCTTTCAACCCCCCCCAGAATTTGCATTTTGGTTTTGATTTTGATTCTTTTGGTGGAGATTATGAGAATTCTGTGACTCTAGCAATCAGTTTTTTCTTTATCATGAAAGTCTCTGAAAGCTCCAGATGGACCCTACTGGGGGCTGTGGTGGAAGTCATCTGTAGAGCTATGTAAAATAAAGTCTTCTTTTCCCAAGACATATCTTTCTTGCAGACTGGTGTTCCTGGATTTTTCTTTGAGGGAGTTAAAGAGTAGGCAGTGAAGAAATCAGAGCATGACCCATGCTGAAAATTTTTTACCTCTTTGCATTTCTTCTTTTCATGTAGCAATGTTTATGAAGTAGAGGCTCTGGAATTGAAGCAGGTGAAGCCTTTCATTGCATTCCTAGACTTTAGGACCCTATTAATCTGCATCACCTTATCTAAGAGGATTAGTGCCAACAAAAGGGTATAATTTGGGATGCCATAAATCATGTAAGGAACTGTGTAACATTTTGCTGGGTACATGTACAGTCATAGAACTAATGAAATATACCATGATAAATGGCAGCAATTTGGTATCATTTTCAGTAGTGCAGAGTAAGCCCACAAAGCTTATTCATGACTGTTTTACCAGGCTGACTAGTATATATTGGCTCTTATAAGCTGGACTTTAACAAGAGGCCTTAAAGTTTCCTCCTCAGAATGTGAAAGAGCAGACATGAGGGTATCATCCATTATGAAGGACATTTTTATGGGATATCTTCCAACTGGGGATCCGATGGCAGAATAGCTCTTCCAGGCTATTGTGAATTAAATAAAAATCTTGATTGTATGAGAATGGCCCTTTTTCAGATGTCTTATTCCATTGCAGAGTTCCAAGAAAGACTTTCTTTGAGAGTAACCGCTACATTCAGTTATCGAGGCTTACTCTTGCATTGTCTTGTCAGACATTGTGTTTGCAGTTCAAGAGGGAAACCAATGTCTAATTTAGATAGAGTAATTCAAACATTAACTGGGTGGAAAGGATGGAAGAGTGTGGGGGGAAAGACAGAATAGTAGCAATTTGTTGGTTTAAATCTTTGGACCCACAATATATTTTTTCATTTGGCAAACTGCCTTTGAAACATTTAAACTGAGCAATTACTCCCAGGGCACACAGGCATTTCATTTGTGGTTTCTTTATTCATTTTACTCAAACTCCTGTTGGGATTGCTGTGAATATGACTATAATGAAACTGGAGGCCTTGCTTCTTTTCTCTTTGGTTTTGGCAAAGGTTAAGCAATAATAAAACCTTTAGAGAACACAAATCAAATGACTTGTTACAGTGCTTATTTAACTGTCTCCTTTCATAGCTGTTATCTTGACTTACATTTTATTTCATAAGGCCTTGTTCTAAGGTGGGATTTCTGTCCTCAGAATTTTGTGGTCCAAGATGCTTAAGATTCTCCTCATGTGGAATGAGAGAGAGAATATTTCTTAAAACCTCTGGGAAGATAACATTTGTCTTCACTATCTGGCACCGGATTGGGATAGTGGAGGTCTTGATGATTACTTCTTTGTGCTAATCCCATTCTCATGCCACAACTCCCTGGCATTTTCAGTTCACCTTTTCTGCACTGTCCGTTATTGTTCTTGGACTATTCTTCACCATCCTGTTTGAGAATATGACCATTCAGGTGGAGGAGAGTTGGAGGAATATGATACAGTAGGATGTACATGACTCCCTCCCACACATCCTATGGTCTGGCCAAACTAGCCTTCTTGTTGCTTCTCATACAAATGGCCCCATCCCACCTGGACACAGTTTGCCCCTACTGTCCCCCTACTTGGAATGCACTCACTCCTCACCTGGAAGTTCTGGAGTCCTTCAAGACTCAGCTGAAGTCCTTCTGCATGAGGCCTTTCCTGGTACCCCCCAGCCTGCTTTTGTCTTTTTATCTCCAGGTTCCAGCACAGTGCCTGGCACAAAATAGGTTTACAATTAATACTTGTTGATTGAATGTTATTAAGAGAGAACTTTCTGATTGTGTTTTACTTTTAACATCTTCTGAGAGAACACTTAAGCATCATTATAGTGTTGAACTCAGAGTGTCAAACTATCCTGGACAGGGTCCTTGATTTTCCCCCTTTCCAGTTAAATTTCTACTCAAGAGTGAATAGTGGTATTCCAACTTGAATGCACACCTTTTGACTACAAACGTAATGTTCCCTCCATTATGTTGCTTAGACCAACTGAAGTATGAAGAGGCTGTCCAGAAAACAAATAATGATGCCTGGCCCTGGCTGATCTCACAAGGATGTAGTCAGTAATTGTTAGATTAGACTTTGAGTCCCTTGTTTCAGTTTTTTTTCCTATCCTTTTTCCTTCCATTTTCATTTTTGCATTGATGAAGTAGGCTTGGTCTGCTTAGAATTTCTGATTTAGGAAATTGCAAGAGGGAAAGCACAGGTGTTGCCAGTAGACATAACCCCATGTATTTCATGACTTTTTGATTTAATACTAGATTGTATACTTAGTGAGGACATGGATTTACTAGCTATGTGACATTGAGCAACTCACTTAACCTCTGCCTGCCTCAGTTTGCTAGTTATAAAATGGGGATCATAAGAGCACCTATCTCTTTGGGTTTTTGTGAAGATCAAATGATATATTTGTAAAGCAATCAGCACAGTGCCTGACACATAGTAGGCACTTAATAAATGTTTATTCCCTTCCCTTCTCTTCTTAAATTGTCATGTTATGTTAGGAGAGGTATAATTAATGTACCTTCCATGTTTTGCAGTCTAAGAAAGCTAACACTGATATGAATACATGTGCAAAGGTCCTATAAGACATGAATACGTGGCAAGGACATAGGTCAAGGGTAAGGGTAAATGTTTATTTAGTATGGGGAACAAGAATAAAAATGTATTATTGTAGTGTTGATTGAGGCACATAATTATAGAAATCAAATGTTCTGGAGAGGTGAACGTTTAGGGTGTTTACTTAAACAAAGACTTATACCTATATATTTGAGATATTAGCAGTTATTCAGTGATTATATTTCAGTGCCTTTCTCATTACACTAAATAGAATGGCTCACTTTTCAGAGTCTTGTGTCTTATGGCCATGAAGGAGGTAGCAAAGAATTAGAAAGAAAGATAGTGCCTATTGATTGGCAAATGACAAATTGGGGAATTCAGAAAAACGTGGGAAGATTTGTATGAACTAATGCAGAGTGAAATAAATGGAACCGACTGTGACTACAACGTTGTAAATGTTGTAAATGTGAATTACCCAGAGGAGGTTGAGCTCTGAATAATAGAAAAACCAGTGCAGGTTCTGAAGAAGAGTTTGTAGAATATACGTCTTTCCTCGTGGCAGAGACTTGAGTGATTACTCTTACAACACATTGTATGTACTGTCAGCTATGGTCTCCATTGGATGTTTTTGGTTGATTATTTTTCTTTGTCTCAAGAGAAGGTCCCCAGTATTGAGGGGAGAAGATGGGAAATGACTACAGGGTCAAGACAAAGGGTATCACTTCAATGAAGCTTTTTTCTTTTTTTAAAGTAAACATAGTGCCTTCAATGGGCCTTGTAAATCTGAGGTTTTCCAAACAGCTTACTCAAGACTTAAGGAATAGGAGAAGCTATTATACATGCCTTCATTTTTCACTCTCCTTTACTTCTTCCTGTTTCCCCTTGTTCATTCTGGGAAGACATTTGTTATTTCTAGACTACTTCTTTTATTCTTACTGCAGGATCTTTGACTGGTGATAGTTATTATTCAGACAACCCTTTCATCAGGATCAGCAAAGACTTGCCATCACTTGTATTGAATATATGTATTCAATAGAAGAAAAAAAAATGGCTTTAAAGACATCTCAGTTCCTTATTTCTCTCCTCTGAAAGCTTTTCTCTTTCTGAAGTCCAGTGACCTAGGGTGTGTTGAGAACTAGCTCTTCTGTTGTTCTTTTTCTGCTATTTTAAATTTTAATTATTTATGTACTTCTTTAAATATCCCAATGTCTTTTTAATTGCCCTAAGTTCTGAGTAAGTCATTTATTAGTTGAGTTTCGATTAGTGACTTTCTTCTGAAGCTTACAGTGCGGATGCTTAACTTTCTTAATCTGTTGACAGACAAATGAAGTGACATCATAGGTGGTTGAAGATTCTCCATGGCAGACTTGCCAACTGTTTGTATAATTCTCATAAATATTTCCTGCCTTTCAGTCTCCATTAGTTGACATGATGCAAATAGGGATATTAATGTTATTTTGAGATTGTGAGACAGGTACTGTAAAAATAGAAAGTCATGTTTCTAATGAGCAGCATCTTCTTTGGTTCATATCTTATTCCTTCCAAGAAAACAAGAAAAATAACCCATCTTGTTTGGTTAGCATTACCTCTATGTGAATAGTGTACTTTTTACATTTGATGTTTTGTGTGGTTTTCAGTCAGAGAAATGAACCTGCAGGACATCAAGGAAGATTTGGAGCTGGATCCAGAAGAGAATAGTAACCTCTTTATGGGCATTCTCATCAAGGGGCTAGCCAAACTAAAGAAGATTCCAGAAACAGTTAAGGCTATCAAGGAACGCCTGGAACAAGAGCTAAAGCAAATTGTGAAGAGGTCCACAACTCAGGTAGCAGACAATGGCTACCAGAGAGGAGAGAACCTCTCTTTGGAGAACCAACCAAGGTATGTGTGGGCTAAAAAATGAATTTGTTGAAGACTTCCTGGTCAAGAAATGAAATTTGTGGCACAAAGGTCTCTTTACACTTTGGTTTTACCTATATCTCTGCCATTAACTTGTGATCTCTCTTGACTTTAGATTCCTCCTTCAGATTATGGAGTTTCATTTTGTAATCTTTAAGGTTACTTCTCAATCTCATATTCTGTAATTTCATTATTTCTCACAGTATACCCAAACTAATAATTATGAAAACAAGTAGTTATAGGTCTGCATATCGGCTAACCAATCATCTTATTTCTAGATGAAATTGAGGAGAATAATAAATTTGGAAAATAAAATAAATCCCACCCTTCAATAACCAAATTAAGTCCTCTTTGATGATTAAGAAGTGTTATATGTCCAAGATCCAAGCTATTGCAGGAATCTATCAATAAGAGGCTGAGGAGCTTCAGCTGTACAAAATAACTAACAGGATTTAGAAAGACAATCCTGTTGTATAGGGAAAAAGAAAAAAAACATCAAGGGAAAATGTAGATCCTAATTAGGTTGTACCTTTATCCCTGATTAATGCAGAGTCCTCTGGGAGAAACTAGAGTGTATGTGTAATCCAGGAGTCAGCCATGCAAAAAACAGAGAATGAGGGAGAGAGAGAGAGAGAGAGAGAGACAGAGAGACAGAGAGACAGAGAGAGACAGAGAGAGTGAGTGAGTGTTGTCAAGGTGTTGAGGGGAAGGGGATGATTAAAATTAAAAATGGAAGTTTCATACAAGAGCCCTTAATGCATAGTAGGTCCCTTTCATTTAATCAATGTTATTTGCTGGGAACTTTAAAGAATATGGAGAAAGAGGGGTGATTTTCCTCACAGTACATAGATCAACCTGTGATACATCACTGACATCTTATTGTCACCTTTTTAAGAAAATGCAAGCTAGTTGAGGGCTATTCTTGAGTATTGTGTGGTTTTGTCTTTGTATTTCTAGCCTCATTTGGTCCTCGGCACATAGAAAGGACTTCAGAAATGCTATTGTATTGGACTAAGTTTCAGCTTCTGAATCGTGAGACTTCAAATGAAGCAACGTTTCTTTTTCCTTAAATTCATGTATGCAGTCTAAAAGCCTCTGGGTTCCCTGAAAAAATTTGTTAAGCGCTCAGGATTTTGAAACAAAGTTTTTCCTCCTTTCACATTTTAGATTCACTATTTAGAATCATATTTAAAAATATTTCAGACATTAATTCTCATGAAAACCTTTTTTTTGGGGGGAGGGGAAAGGTGGAAGGGAAAGGGTAGAAATGGTAGGAAAAGGGGTTAAAAAAGAAAATAAAGTTTCAAAAGTCTGAATTAATTAATAAATTACTGGCAATAGATAGATAGTGGTATATGCCACTCTCAGCCTTCTTAGGTCATTCATGCTGTAATAGAGAGAAGCTGGGAAAGATTCTGAATTTGATTTTGCTTTTGTCCCTCCCCCCTCCCCCAATTGATTGAGTTCTGGCAAAGACCTATTTGGTTCCCTATTAACAAACACTCCCATACACTGGCTTGCTATTTACCCTCTTTCTCTGAGTCCCTAGATAACTGCATTGAGCTTTCATAGGGAAATACATTACTAAAGTATATATTGGAAATAAACAAAAGGACATAAATCGATATCTTTTCCACAGAACTCATTACAGTGCCCTTAAAAGCACAGTATCTTTCACAATATTTTAACTTCCTCCTCTTGCCTTCTGTAAGCCCCTCCAGAATTCACCAGTGGAAATTACTGCACCAGAAGTGGATTTTCAGTAGACTGCCTCAGGAAATAATAAATGTTCCTGTACAAGGAATGAGTCAGCAGGAGTTTTTATTAGTTTTGTCAGTATTTAAGATGGCTCTTGTCGGCAGGACACATTGGACACTAACTAGGGAACAAGCTATTTACTGTGGTTTCTGGTCTGTAATATGACCCCATCTTGTAAAATATACAGCTTCCACCTTTGTTCTCAAAAAACCTTCTGTGACCACATAAAATAGTGGAGAACTTGTACATTTTTCTTGGAGAGATTGGAATTTAAATTCTTCAGTTATTTTTATTGAAGCTGATCATTTTGATCTCGTCTGCTGTAGTATTGTGGTACCACCCAATTTTAGCTTAATGGACAGTGTCTGCTTCTAAGGCGATTTAAGATTTGGCTAATAATGGATATTTAAGGCTGGTTTGATAGTCTAACATTGTCAGAATTATATTTGTGAGAAGCTTACATTCATTTCTTGATTTTATCAACTTTGACTCTTGTGGGGATGAATAGCCCTTGCTTTATAAATAATTAAAACTCCTGAACCTGGTACCTTGTAATATAGCTAAAGAAACCCTAGTACTAATCTCTAACTATAGGAATGACTCTTTCCATATTCTAGCCTTAAGAAAAACTGAAGAACAGCACATGAAATATCCCCCCCCCCAAACTTCCACCTTGAAACAGCCTCAGAGTAGATCCAAATATAGTAATTTTCCCTGAGGGCATCATTGTAGAACATAATGTCATTAAATACAATCTCATTGTGATGCATTACATCCATGTTTGCATTTGTCTTTATGTAAAGGGAGTTAATGTTGCATGCTGGGTTGCTGGAAACGCATAAGAGAGCAAGGTAGTGAGTCATCTTGCTTTAAATTTCTATGGAGGCAGGACAGTTTTTTCAACCAGTTTTTACTCAGTTAGGAAAACCACTAATTAATATAGTTTGCTTCTAAAAATTTCTGTTTCTTGTTTTTAGCGAAAGTACCCCCTCTCCACTATTCCTTCAGTGTTATCCTGATTCTGTCAGCTATCTATCAACCACCAGGGTCTTTTTTGGAGAAAACTTTAGAATACTGTTGTTGCTATGAAAATAAACATTTGTATATGATGTTTCCATCTCAGTGCTGCCATAACCACCTGCTTTCTGTTTTCTCTGAAAGGCCTTGCCTCTGACTTTACAATTCTACCATCAGTTTCTCCAACCTCAGCTGTCTCATTGCTACCTCTTTTCCAAAATAAGTCTAGTAACTTTGGCATTTCCTGTTTTGGAAGAACCTTTATTTCTAAAATTCTTACTGAATGAAGAATGACTTGGGCAAATATTTAAAGGTACAAGGAAAAAAAAGGTTTATCCTAGAGGTGTAGTACCGTGTTCCAAGAATAGGAAATGGAGAGAATAGAAGAAATAGACAATTAAAGTTATGACTAGTACATGAGGAAACCACTGTTTATCTCTGAAATTGTTCTCTTTTAATATATTTTAAATTTTCTGAAAGCAAAAAAAATATTACCCTTTTGAGGAAGAGCCAGAGACCTGTTATACCTGAATAAAGAAACCTATTCAATGTTGATTAGACATTCATTGAGGGGGAATTGAATAAGTGAAAAGCATGTCTACCAAGGAAATCCTTTTCTCATTGTAGAGAGATCAGTACTGGATTTTTACACAGACTCAGGGGACTTCATTCTTGCGTATTTTATTTTTTTTAAACTCTGAATAACTAAAGATACAGGAGCTAATAGGGGAACTGTGGTTGCAGGGTATGGTGGTTTAAAGCCCTCTCTGATATTAGTAGAAATCCATTTCTCATTTATATACAGAAAGATCAGATGGAGCACTCCAGAGCTTATTAGGAGTCCTGAGGAAGCAAATTACAACCTCCTTTTTGATAAGTTACAAGCAAATTTAAAGTTTAAATCAAAGAAACTGGAAGCTTTGAGGCACATTTCCTGGTCAGCTTCTCATTCTAAATAAAGCTAGGACTTAAAAAGCAGGATTAGATGAAGCAGAGGTTTATAATAGTTGAAATTTCATGATAGAGCAGTACCATATTGTACTTTAGAGTTTTTATTTCTTTAATTCTATTCTTATTCTTGTCTCTCATTGTTTATTCTTAGTAAATAGTGATTATATTAGATTGCAACCTGGAGATGGTACACTACCAAATTGTTTGCAGGTACAGAAGACTATCTCTTTAATAGCAGTATTCTCCCAGTGATCCTTTATGGGGGTCAATCCTAGAACACACAGCATAGAATAGAAAGATGCATGGTGGGCCCAAGTAGGCTGCACCATGTTACCAGTGATGATTACTGTTTGAGAAATGACAGAAAAGACATTATTTTTCACAGAGGTCACTGGAAAACAAGGTGAACCTGTCATATAGCAAGAATGAGAGACAAAATTTGGATAGCTGGAGTGGTACGTTACTACCCTCGATATCCTAAAAGATGGAGTGGAAAACCTCCACTGTGATGGGTTGATCCTCTCTGAAGGATTCATGGGAAGGCATGCGCAAGGACTAAACAAAGAGAAAGTATGGAAGAATTGTGATCAGTGTTGATGGAGGGACTACTCACAATGATATCATAGAATAACCAAAATTAAATATTGAAACAAAATTTGTTTTTATTAAGGTATATTACTTTTGTAGAAAAGAAATATTGGCCAGATGAAAATTGCAGGCATAGTGCTTAAAAGAAAGTGTATAGTTTGAGTAGTCTTAATCTTTGAAAATTATAATAGTGTCTAAATGTGAAAGTCACAAAGGTGATGAGGAGTTAGTAAAACAGCACATGGGGCAGGCATTGAAACCGAGAGCATTTAAGTTATAGGATGACTTTATGCAAGGGGAGTTTATACTTGTTTCATATTATGAAGAAGTATGGCATGAATGGCCTCAATTTTGCCATTGTATGTATAGTTTGTTTTCCCCTAGGGTTCAGGTATTTATCTTTTTCCTTTATCCCAGAGTTAAATGGAAAGACCTTCAGTGGAATTTCAGCTGTTATCTACCTTGGAAATATTTTTGACTGTAAAGGGCTCAATAAAAATGATTGACATGCAAGATAAGTAAATGGTTAGAGAATACCTAGCAGTCTTGGAGGTCACTGTACCCACATGAATTACAGTCTTGGTATTGAAAGAAATGACAGTTAGGAGATTTCTGAGCCATTGTCAATGATTTGTGAAAGTTCTTGGGGAATCAGAGAAGTACTGTAG